CCTTAATTGCGAGGATGGGATGATAGACAAGTTTAGGGACGACGTCAAAAGATCGATGTCGGATAAAAAACTTTAATTCCTTTAGTTTTTTTCCAAACCCCCCTACCCCCCCACTGAAACTTAATTGATAAATATTGGTCATGGCGTCAGATTACATTCACCATTAAATACAAATTGATAATCGGACAGTAGTATTGCATAGCAGTTGGTTGTCGGGTGGGTGTAAAAAAAGTTCACAAATGCACCTCATTTGACGCACAGATTTATACTCGAACCAAACCATTTTTCTAGGTTTTTTCCCCTTTTCGGTTATTTCTGTCCATGATTGGATAGAACTACAAATACTCCAAGATTTTTTTGACATTAAAAAATAAAATCGTTTTTGTAGGATGGAAACTTTTTGACGTCAAAACCCCCCACCCCCAAACTAAAGGAAATAAGTTTTTTATCCGACATCGATCTTTTGACGTCGTCCCTTAAAGTTCCGAAACTCTCTTGTATCATAAAATACCTACTGATGACCATGCATAAGACAATTCTTTCATTCATTGAATTGCAGTTTCGTCTGCATAAGGGGAGATGATTTTGTCATGTAAACATTCGATAGCTCACCAGGGAAACCAGCAAATAAAATCCATGAGCTAGAAATCACCAACTTCTTCTTGCATGTTAAACCAACTGATGGCACTTGTCTGTTAAGTTCAAATTTAAATCTGATTTTTTAAGATATATGAAATTTGCTAATAAAAATTGCATAATCAATATGCTGGGTTTTCAACATTAAACTAATCTCATATGTGGATTACCTAGAGCATATATGTACCACGTTTCATTGAAATTTGATGAATTGTATTTAAGATACATGTGCAATAAAAAAGCCAATATTTGACTAACTATTATGCAAATTAAATTAATTAATATGCACATATTTTTACTTACAATGAACTCTGACCAGCAGACATACACACATGTACACACAGACAGACAGGGTAAACTGCAAAAACTCCCATTGTGTGCTTCATATACAGGAGTAAAAAAATACTTGAATTGCACTTACCAGTCTGGTCTATCGTGAGTTTCTCTGGAAGCTAACCGTGGATCATGGGTTTGATCACCGCTACCTTCATAGTATCTACGGTATGCTTCTAGCTCAGCCTGTGTAACAACAGCCCCCTACATCCAGAGAAGAACAATAGATCTAGCTTAGATACTAGATTTGTTTTGGATCCAAAAATTAATGTAGTGATGTGCATTTTGATACGAATCAAAATTTCTCAATTAATACTACATATACTTTACTAATCTCAAAGCTCCTTATAGAATAATATAACATGAATTGTAAAACAAGTCCCCAAATAATGCAGTAATATATATAAACATATTAGCCAATTTGTAATGTGTTTTTATTTACACTTAGATGAAAACATGTGGTTTACTACATTTATCTAAGGCCAGGGAAAAAAAATTCTTCATTTCTCGTTTCATGGAAATTTTAAAATGAGGCGGCGTGTCGTTTTTTTTTTTTTTAAATACTGAGCTAAAACGGGGGAAATTTGAAACAAGCGCGAGTACAAGCGCATTTTTGAATGCTTTAAAATGAAAAAAACGTCTGAAGCGCATAGTTCAAAATGATGCGTGCGGAAACAAGAAACAGAGATATTTTTTTCTCAGCTTATATACTAGATCTTGGAGAGAATATTACTAACATGTGGTTTTCATTATCAGCAGTATAAATTTCTCTCCGTTCATTTATTTCCAGGTTATGGTTTGATAATTTTGATGTAATATTGGATTTTTTGGCAAAAATGGCCAATATGTATAGTAATATACTTCATAATAAATGAATGCAACATTGGCTTAAGGATGGCACAACAACCTGTCACTTCACCTTGACCATATCATCCACATAGAAATTATCAGGTCATACATTAACCTGCTTCATCTTGGACCCTACTGACAGCGTTTCAGATGCTCACCGGATATTAGCAATTTGAAGATATTTTTTAAAATGTCTTCAGTCAGAGGGGCCTAATTCCTGTTTGTTAATTTGTTATTTTTAACCAAAAATGGCAAATTTAAGCTACTTGTAATTTTGACTCAACTAAACCCCTGGCTGATGTCACTAGTGGATGTAATTTAATTTTTGTTAGCTGAGAGTTACATTTATGTGTAATCATTACCGGTGGTGGCATTCTACCAAATCCAGACCGTGCGGTCTCCGGTGTGTAGTAGCTGCTTTGTTTATTTGCACTTGTATTCTTAGCTTTAGCTGATCCTGTTCTGTCATACTGTGGTGTTGGCTTGCCATGGATGGAAAGATCCATTCTTATCCAGTTATCGTCTACAAAATATAATGAATATTTAGATGAGTTAAATATCTGTTTGGCTCTGACAAGATTCCATGCATCAACAAACATTTTGTCATAACCAACACATAATCCTTTCATTTCGATATCTCTCATGGCTCCTTCTCACTTAACCAACTTATGCAAGTTGAATAATGTAACATTACACCTCATATGGTTGTCATTATTATTTTTAATAGTGGTAGTTCATTGAACCACAGCTCCAGATGTATAAAAGGAAAGATGAAAGACTTCAGTATGCCAATCGTGCTCCATAGTGATGTACAATGTATCTGGGCAGGGTTGTACACAAATTTGGCTTTTTCTGATAACCAGAATTCATAGAGTATTTTAATTTTCTGTCACATACAAGTATGAATATTCATAGAATATAATGTTAGTTTACCAGTTGTGCTAAATTTAAATGTAATTTTTAAAAGTTGCCTAAAACGTTTTAAACAGTCAAGGAGTCTTAAAATTGACTGTCAATCGCAGGTTTATTGAAATCAAAGTTTTAATTCATACTGCTAGCAGAATATGTTCTTTCAAGACAGACATACATGTACCTAAAATGTTAGCACATAGGATTAACAGATGTAGTAACTATTATAGTAAACTGTGAGTGGGTCATTTGAATTAGATTTCCAATGACACACTGGTGCAATCCCAAAAATTCTGGAGACACAATTTTAAAAGTGTACAGCCAACTGCACTCATATAAGTACATTGTATATTTTACGAATATTTGTTGTTCTTGCTCATAGCATTTTGTAAGAAAAAGTTGGCAACTAGCAATTCTGATGGAGGAGGTAGATTTTAAAAAACAAATCTGCACAGAGTAAATGTTGAAAAAAACACACATGGAAAATGACAGAAAGAAAACTATATGCAGTGCACACAAAACATTTATTAGCTGAACCCCATGTCAGATAATAAAGCTTTTTTACGCTTGACTCCATGGCTTCATTTGGAAGTGTCTGCTCTAACATGCTCCTCTCAGCCATGGAATGATCTGTGCAAAAAATTTATGTTTACAGCTTATACCCAGAATTCCTCAAAATTTACAGTTGCTATGATCACAAACATAGAGTTCAAAATCTATGACACTCTGATGAAAATTAATAAAAATTATGACTTTTATTGTGCATGCTTGTTAAACAGGAATGTTTGTCAACGAAAATGTGGTTATTTTTGCAAATTTTACAACTAGATCATGCCACTGTGTCCGGAAATGCATGTAAACATAAATTATGTTGTCTGACAATGGGTTGTTGTAAATAATAGGTAATACCATATACCCTCTTGTCTTACGTACAGCTGATGGGCAAATTTCACTTTCAAAATTGTTTCAAGCGAAGTAGTAGATAACATCATTTCCACTTTACGTCCAAAGTATATCAGTTGAAATTGACTCTCATTCTAGGTCAGTGGTGGGAAAATCGTGATGATATCGTGGATAAATAGCATGATTACCCAGCGCCCGGGATTGAGGGCAGCAAACTGCGTGTTTACTCTACCCATAGACCTACAGCATTTTGGCTGCAGCCAACAATAGGCCAATCGGAGCTGCTAAACTGCAGAAGATGAGATGTGAAAAAGGCTCTGCAGACGGTGTACGTGCCTCTTGTAACTTGGGGTGAATGACAAATAACTTGGCAGTAACATACTTAAACGCAGCCTTGTTTGTACGTCGGCAAATGAATGGAAGCGCAAGCTGGTTCACAATGGGCCGGGTAGGCTGAGATACATAACACATGTACCGTAGTGAAACAAACTCGGGGGAACTGTCAACAACGATGCAAAGAAGAATACATATTGTCAGCGACCCACACTGTTCTCACATTACTGAACGCACGACCAGCAGTCCATAACGGTCTATTACCGGAATAATACTTACAAACACGTTTCCGGGCGAACTTGGATACAATATATTAACTTTATCGTGCTTATCGTTGTGTTCAGTTGCTTAGCTGGCCGCCATCTTTTATGAGCTTGAGTGTTCGGTAATCCATTACTCCAATAAGAGCCCAAGTGCAGCTATTCCAACAGGTTTTATTTTATTATGCTCATTCTGCCCAAATAGTCTTGATAATGAACATAACTGTTTTTCGATAAGACAGTATAAAATCCTAGTATTATGACAACTATACCTTCTTTCAAAACTTTTTAAAAAACTCAAATAAGTTTCACTTCATACATTACATGCATTCATCTATATCGTATACCACATATATAAGCAAAGGGAAATCCATACCAAACATCCAATGAAGATTGCAGCAGTTTTTAAAAGAAATATCATGTGGCCTAGTGGGTTAGAAGATTTTTAGCATAATGGGAAATGACTTCTTCCCATAGATTCTTGTCTCTCTCTAATATATCTAAACGAATGAAATGTTAAGAATAACAAACAATCTTACGAATGAAAATTTCTCTAGGTGTTCATAAAAACTCGTCAATTATTGTGTTAAGACGTAACTTTGGTCGATTTATGTTGGAATAAGTTTTGAATATCAGTTTTGACCAGCAACGAAAAAAAATTATTTGCTGAGTATAAAGCATCAGAAATATATTAATGAAATGAAGAAATGTTACTCCCTTCGAAACTAAGTTTTGACAAATCTCACTGTTTCATTTTTTTAGATGATAGTACATAAGTTCTCTTTTTGTACAGGATGGGATTTTCAATAAAATTGAGAATATTTTTAAAGTGAAACAACCGGGTTTAGAGAAGCATGTACATGTTTCAGATAAGTAGCGCCATCTAGCGACAAGTTGTTTTTGTGGCGCAAGGGATGTCGATATTAGGGACGACATCAAAAGATCGATGTCGGATAAAAAACTTATTTCCTTTAGTTTGGGGGTGGGGGGTTTTGACCTCAAAAAGTTTCCATCCTACAAAAACGGTTTTTATTTTTAATGAAGTCAAAAACATCTTCGAGTATTTGTAGTTCGTTTTTTTCCATTCAATCATGGACAGAAATAACCGAAAAAAAAAACGAAAAAAAAACAGAAAAATGATTTGGTTCGAGAGGAAATCTGTGCGTCAAATGAGGTACATTTGTAAAATCTGTTTACACCCACCCAACAACAAACTGCTATGCAATACTACTGTCCGACTATCAATTTGTATTTAATGGTGAATGTAGTCTGACGTCATGACCAATATTTATCATCAATTAAGTTTCAGTGGGGGGTAGGGGGGGGTTGGAAAAAAACTAAAGGAATTAAGTTTTTTATCCGACATCGATCTTTTGACGTCGTCCCTTAGTTAGATCGGGTGTTGTGCGCTAGTAATATGTTCTTAGAAATTTGCTATATTTGGACTCGTGACATCATGATAGCCCATCTAAGTCTTACTTCGATATTTCATCATCTTCAAGTTTGTTCAGGGGGATAACTTGGATTTAAACTTCTGAGAAATTATTGGAACATTATTACTGTTTCTCAAATAATCCTATCCTCGGGGGCGGACATCCGGGCATTTTCACCTCCTGGCAACTCGTGGCGGTGAAAACAAAGGCCAAAAACTCGCAGAAAACGGTACTTTGAGGTGATTGTTGAGACTCTTCTGAACAGTGTAACAAGATTAGCCCTACGTGTGTAACATATATAAATTTGGTTGTTCTGGATTACTTCAAAGTTGAGTTTGTGTTGTTTTCTCGAATTTTCACCGGCTTGACCATAGAAATGCATGGTACAGTGGTGCGCGTCTTAGCAACGTGGAACGTCTTGTGACGTAGCTCCGCCCCGAGGATATAGTATGTATATGTTTTGAATGCGCTATTTACGTAATAAATCAGATTGGTAGCCTGTAATCACGACTTTACGTAATGATCTTGATTACGTCATAATCTCAAATTGAGACACGTCATGTATTATAGCGTTTGTCGTATACAATATCCCACCCAGTACAGAATCTGCAAATTGTGTAATAAAATGATATTGAAGATGAAATGAGAGGGTCATTTTATACAATGAAGCTGAAAAGATTATTCCTGACTTTACAAATCTTACACCTGAAAATAAATTCATAAAAATAATGTCAAATAATAACCTAAAAATTCCTCTGACACAATATCTGAAATACAGTTTTGTTATTAGACAGCAGCACCTACTTAGCCATTGACTTTTTTTTATATTTATTATGTGTTCATTGGGTTTTTATATTCAGTTTATAGTTTTTTGTTGGTGTTTCATTTTATTTTATTATTTCCGTTACTAATTTCAATTTAGTCTGTTTTTGGTTGTCCTTTAAAGTATTAGCCATTGTAATTTGATTAAGTTTTATCTGTAATTTTCTTTTGTAACCTTTAACCTTCTTAAGTAGGTTGTTATGAGTTAATACATACATAAAGCGCGGTGGTCGTCGCGCAGCGCGTGTTCGAATTTCATGTAAATAAACAATGTATTTTACACACGTTGTATACGTCGCTATGAGTCCCATATCGAACAGGACGCGGCGTGACGACTACCGCCCTTTAATATGGTGTTGTAGTATTAGAGGGTCTATGCGTATACAAACTATCCCTCAGGGGCGGAAGCACGAAATTTTGCAGAGGGGGAGGGGCATATCTGCTCACCAACCTCGCGTGACCATACTAGGGGTCCAAGGTCATGTTCCCCCTTAAACATTTTGAAATCTAGACCCTCTGAAACGCTATTTCCTGCATTCTGAGGGGCAAATTTTGCTGGCACAAAGGCTTTCAGCTTGATTTTGGAGGGGCGATGCCCCTAACATTTTTTTCGAGGGGCAACCGCCCCCTGTGCCACTGTCCCTTAGTACCGAAAGTGTCCGTGAGTAGCCTGAGAAGGTCGCATGAGTTGCGCCCTCCGCAGTGCTCCAGTAGGTTCTGATGCCGTTCGGCCGGCGAGGGCGCCACTCACGCCTACACGAGGCTTGCCAGTGAGGTACTGACCCGGCATTGTGTTAAGACAGGTGGCGCTTGGTTTGCGGCGATCTGCGTGCCAATGACTGACCCGGGTACAGATATGATATGACCGTGCCACCCGTGCCTGCAGATCCCTAACCTTTTCAAAATATAGTGTACGATATATGGTAAAACATGTCTTTTTAGCTAAGATGTTAATTTATCCTATTCACGATTTCGCTAATTCAACTTGAATATGTCGCTAATCTCACAATGAGATTGTTGGCATTTTAGCTAAATTAGGACTCTATCAATTCATGCATTATGCCAAATTCACTAAAATGGCACGTAGTATTTCAACATGTTTTACAGTAAAGATTAGAGTCAGTGTTAATGTTTTTTGTTGTTATTTGGTTTGTATGTTACAAAAGCTGTATTTCCACCGATTGACGATGCTTTGAGCTTGAAGAATGCTTTTGGTTGATTCCACTGCTAGTAATAGTGACTTGAAGAATACTTAATCCGAGAACGGGGACTTATGGACTGACATCAGTGAGTGCGTGCGTGCGCGTGTGTGTGTGTGTGTGTGTGCGTGATTACACCTGCCTTCTGTCCGTACCCAGCCAATCTCACACATGCTTGGACAGGATAAGTTCATTCAAGCATCATACATTATATCGGACATATGCACATACACTTGTATCATGATCCGATTTACGACGTCCGAATACCAGCCAATTTAAGACAAAAATGCATCAAAATAGGACATTTTCAACTGTCTTACATTCCGGGTCCAATCTCAGTTGTGCGTAGTCGGATTTAGTTTAAAGTTGGCACATACATTACGCACAATGAGACCTTTATGTACACCATTCATATTTCGGACCGCGTTCACACACTGACTGGCGGCGACCTTGTTTCAAATAATGCAGTATCGAATCAATGTATCCGACATGGCATGGCATCATACATACATGATATATCACGTCAAACATATGCACAAGTATTTGTTTGTTCCGTTTCAAGATGGCTTAGTGACAGCCATTTTAATTGAGGCCAACAAATGTATAAAAAAAACACCCACATTTTCACCATTCCGAAAAATAATTGAAAGTAATAGCATTATAAATAATAATAATCAGGTAGGATTTCGTAAGGGACACCGCACTATAGATCACATTTTTGTATTGAAAACTATTATCAACAAATACCTGAAATCGAAAAACAAAAAATGTATTCATGTTTCATAGACGTTTAAAAAGCATTTGATAAAATCTAGAGAGTGCGATTCTTCTATAAATTACTTAATAATGGTAAATAAATAACCTCATATATATATCTATTAAATACTGTAATAAAGTCATATATTCGTTACACACATATTTGAAACGACCAAGAGATTTAGAAAGGGCCGTTTCATTAATCCAATGCTTTTTAATTGTTTGTTAATGACTTGCAGATGATCTGGTGTTTATCTCTGGAACAAAAAAAAAACGGACTACAAAACGCATTAAATACTAGTAGTTTAAAGGTTTATTGTCATTAAGGTAGAAGTCTACTTATAAATTAAAATACCCAAAATGTATTCATTTTTCAAATAAAATGTGCTCCAAGGCATATAAAGTTGGGGGTCACCAGCCTTTTTTTTCGAGAAATTGATGGTTGTATTTTAGTTGAAAATCGCCATTTTGGCACTATTACAATGCTTTTACCATAGGTTCCTTTGGCAGAGATTTTATGCAATATCTAGCCTGGTTACATAGGCTGAACACAAATTATATAATGTTAATGATAGAGTACTTTTTGTTGTTCTAAATTATTTTAAAAAACTAGGTTTTAAAAAGTGTCAAAAATGCATTTTTTTTTAACATTGTGTTCTATGGAATTGTTCTAAAAGGAAATATTAGGACACGTTTCTCAAAAATCTTAACTGCCATAGTGTAACACACAAAATAATGCTATTTCATTGTACAATGGGACATTAGCTTCATGATTGTACATAATAAACAAATGAACATTGTCATGTGTTTTATGACCAATTTTGTCAAAAATTTCGAGTAGGCTCTTACCTTAATGGAAACTCCCAGTAAATCTGACAAAAAACAAACAAAAGTTGTTATTTTCAGACGAGGAACTCTGAAAAACAACAACGGGACAATTCTAATTACAACGAACAAAATATCATCTGTGTAGATATGTACAGCTGGGTATAAACATAACGTCAGATAGTTGCTACACTCAAAGACACTAGTGTCTTTGCTACACTGAAGCCAAACAAAATTTATCAGATAAAGTAGCCCGAGAAATGTATGCGTTGAAACAGTCCCCACCAAACGAATCAAATTGTAGAACTTTCATCCATTTTAAAAGGTATTCAGCCAATATTGTTATTGTACGGGTTTGAAATCTGGAAGAATGGGACAAAATGATAACAGAAAAAACACAATTGAAATTTTACAAAAAAACGACGAGGACTTTTGTCACAATCATTTTGAACAAGCGCCATCTAGCGTTTCGTTATGATGTGGTGGCGCCGAGTTGTCGTCTGATCCGGGGTCTGATCTCAAAGTGCGCTAAAAATGTGTCAAGATGGCGGCGAATTCAGACAACTGTTTCCGATCAAAGCTGATGGAAGACATGTTAACATGTCACATTTGCGAAGATGTGTACACAACTCCTAAATTGCTGAGCTGTCAACACAGTTTTTGTGAAGAATGTCTGGATAAATGGGTAAAAGCGTCACCGACAGGCCAGCTCAGTTGCCCGGATTGTAGGAAAGTGTTCGAGTCATTTGACGGCGTGGAAAATCTGCCGAGCAACATATTTCTTGGAAATTTATTCGATATGGTTGTCAATAATTCTCGGAAGCCTGAAGTTGATGCTAAACAACAATCGTGCGATGTGTGCAATCCCGGTAGTTACTGGTAAGATATCGGAGAATCGGTGTCTAGATTGTGACCAATACCTGTGCTTAAACTGCAGCGGAATGCACCACAAACTGAACGTAACCAAAAACCATACATTAATGTCCGTCGATAAATACGAGATGATAAGGCGAACAAATCCCTCAATCGAGAAGAACTCTGTTTATTGCGATAAACACGCGGACAGCAAAGTTGATATTTACTGCAAGACATGCGATGTGGCTGTTTGTATGAACTGCGCTTTTGAAAAACATCCCAACCCCATTCATCAATACATGTCATTGGAAATGGCAGCCGAGAATGAAAAGGAACGTTTTGCAAAATTGGTTCAACAACTCGGCAATCGAAAGAACGAACTGAAAGAAGCCAAGACACACGTGGAAAAACAGTTCGGCGAGCTGTCCCACAGCTACAAAGCAAGTTTGAAATCGATTAAACAACACGCTGAAAAAATTCATCGAAATATAGAAGCGATGGAAATAAAGGCGACCGAGAGTCTTGGAATATTGTTTCAAGGAAAAAGAAATTTGTTTGAATCTATGAAAGATACTGCGGATAAAAGCATTGCAGCAGTTTCTAACACTATAGAGTTTGTGCAAATAGAAATTAAGAGTTCCAGTCCATGGAATTTTCTTTTAGCACGAGATTTCTTGCAGGTACAAATTGATGATGTCTTGACTCTAAACGTGAACAATCAAGACATATCTGGTCAATTAGATTTTCAACTAAGCGGCAGTACTGACGTGGATGAGTTTGTTGTTCCCAAAATGCCTGTCAGTATTGCAAGGCCATCTTTGGTGGATGGATTTTCAGAGGTGAGTGTCATAAAACAACCCCATCAATAACCATGCCATGACAGATTCACACATAACAGGTTTGTTTATCAGAACTGAAATTTCAGAGGTCAAGAATTTTGTTACCCTGACTACGGTACCCTGACTATCCTTTCAAAATGATCATATTTGCAATACTATGAGGTTATTATGAGGATACTGCAAAGTATGCACGAAGACAGTACAGCAGGAGTATCGGCCGACGCTCAGCGGAGGTTGATGCAACCAATTACTGTCATTTCCTCCCAGGAATGTCAAAATCCTAAACATTTAGAACAGATTTAGCAAACTTATTTTTGTGGGGTCCGGTCAAACCCTGGATGCAGCCATGTTTGTTTTTTATTATTAGAGGATGCTTATGCGTGTAATCGTTCCATATTTGGAATTCTCGGTTCTTAATATGGTAGGATGAAAATACCTAGTGCAATATCGCAAAAATACGGCACGCTGGGAGTGGCCGACTAATATGACCAGGGACTGAGATTTGGTCATATCTAGAAATTGTGAAATATTTTGCATGAGTAAAGATAACAAGTGTATTTTTTTGCAAGTATTTGTTCTTTTACCGCAATGTATAGAGAAAGAGCATTTGTTGCAGAAGTTCAATTAATAAATCATCACCCCCTCCATTGACCACAACTGCTGTTCTGTCATGTCATCACTATTAAAGTTGCTGGCTTGCAAGAATTGTAAAGTCTTAACTGGGGTTCTTGCAACACCACAATATGCAAGGGTAGAAATTCCTGAGAAGGCATGTAATTTAAAAAAAAAAATGTCAAAAGGTGTTACATTTGATACATATATATACATTGTTTGTATATACACAATTTAAATGCATGCTGTGCAACAACGACCACCTTTAAACTGTTCAATTTAATTTACAGAATTTTGCGAAAGTCACTGATGTTTCGTTTCATGGTGCCACAGAGATCTTTTCACTGCTACAAAACTTTGCATATTTCACTAACTTGTAAAATTCATTAAAATTTGTCTCCTTCGAAATTAAGGCAGTTTACAGTAATGCATTTGTCATGTCAGGTGATATGGCTACATATCTTTCAACAGGGGATGTAACACACTGCCTGAGTCTAACTCTTGTTCATGCTCAATCTCGTTAGGTTGATCTGACCAATACTAATCTCGTACAAATTGTGCATAACCAGGCTCCAGTAACATTATGTCATCTGCTTGTGCACAATGTAGGAGAAATATGAAGAACTGCTATTGTTGGGTAACTGTAAATCGTCCATCCCATCCCTATTGCCTGTAATTTCAACAAATGTCATATCACAAGAAACATGCAGAAGATAATTTATGTCAATAATATGCATTAACCTTCTAATAATACGCTGACTTTTATTTATTGTAGATTAGAAAGAAGAAAGACAATATGGATGGAAGCATTATAACAAACAGATCAAGTAAAAACTCACTACCTAAAGATAAATCAGGTTAGTGCTGTTAGACCAGTCCTAAAACGTTAAACGTTAATAGACAGGTTCTATTAAAAGGTTTAATACTAAAAAATGATTACTTGTAGGGCTTTACATCTTAATAGTGTTAAGCAATTATTACTTTTGACAGGTCCTAGAGGGTTACTAACATTAATTTTGGCAAGTGTAATAAATGTCCAGCTATTACCAAATGACATCATAAAACTATGTCAGGTTGTTAAAAAATTGTTTAGATTCTGAGAAAAAGTAAGCATTACTAATTACATATAGTTTATCAAACATTTTAAATATGTGTCACATTATTTATTTATTGATTTCCTATAAATTTCAAGAAACATTCTCATACATGTCTCAAGATACTGATGGACATGTAGGTCATATATAACAATTTTTAAATAAGACATAGCTCTTCAAATGCAAAGCTATAGTTAAGCAAGGTTACTTGAAATATTGACTGGTTAAGACCTTAAAAACATTTTTGAAAGATAATTACCAAATATAACTTCCCTGTCAAGGAATTTACATCTAATGTAAGTTAAGTAACATATATAAAAATGTGATTGTATTTTGTTTCCAACTGCAGTATCCTCCAAGCAAACAGTGTATAATTCACAAACTGGTATCCATAGTGACCACACCGTGGCAACAGCAGAAGTACCAAAACAAACTGATGTTACCAGGTGTCAACAGAAATCTGACAGGAAAAATTCTAAACCAGAGTTGTCTAAAAGTAAATGGCAAAAAAAAATTAGACCTGCTAAAAGACAGCTGCCCAACAATAGCACTACCAATAGCTCTGTTCCAAGTACAAGTGGAATGAGCAGTGAAATCAACAATACTAAGGTGAATATTTCTATTAAAATGGTTTTATTTATCGTCCCAGTGAAAATTGAAAACAAATATGGTAATGAGGTTTTAATTTTGTTTTAAGTGCTCATGCTGTATATGACAGTTTTGTTGGCTTTCCATGGAGGCTTCCAGCGGGTGCTGTGTTACAGCTAGCAAATCTTAGAAGTATTGGGGCAGCAAGTAGCAAACGTGCTCACACAATTTTCTGAAGACTTTGGTTTTGACAAAAGCAGATTCAACAATTGCAAACAATTTTGCATACTTTTCCGTTCTCTGTATTTAAATACTGTTTTTTTTTAGATATTACTAGTATTTGATGATAACAGAATGAAAGGTAAGATTCAAATTGTAGTCCAAACCAGTCATTCACGAATTAATAAGCAACTTGCTGCCCCAATACTTTTGCTGTAAGATTATGCAATATCACAATAAGAGTGTATATACAATTTATGAAATAATATGGGGTTATTACGAGGGTACCTTAAAGTATGCATGAAGACAGTACAGCAGGAGTATCGACCGACATGCAGTGGAGGTCGATGCGACGGTGTACTATCTTTTTTTTTCAAGGACATATCATGGGAATGCAGAAATCAAAAACGTTTAATTAGAGCTGAATCAGCGAACTGCTTTGTGTGGAGTCCGGTGAAACCCTTATGGCAGCCATGTTTGTTATTATTATTAGTGGGTTCTTACGCGCATAATCATTCCATATTTGGAATATGCATTTCCTAATATGGTAGGATGAAAATACCCCAAAAATACCTGCGTTACGATGACAGATGTATAATAATAATTTTGAATACATGCATTAAAAGTAGATTTAGATCGACAAATGCAAAATTGCGAACAAAAAATGTGTGAGACGCATGCTTACAACTTACATGTGTGATGGTGTCACAACCCGATGCTAGGAAGCGATATGTTATACCTCCCAACACCAGGAAAATGACAAGTTTTGACAAACAAGATTAAATCACTATCAAAATATAAATTTATCAATTTATTGGCCGACTGGGGGCATTTTTAATGCCAAAATTCAGTCAAATTTGTTCCTTGTGTGTCCATCGTCATTTCTCGGAGATGGCTTGACCGATTTTGTTGAGACTTTTTACTAAGACAAAGGAACCACCCATACAGATGCACGTTTTACTTTTTTGTAATGATAAAATGTGGCCATTTTGACTGTTAATCATCAGCTTTTGTCTGTCCATTGATATTTCTCAGAGATGCCTTGACTGATTTCAATGATACTAGGTACAAAGACACATATATTTATTTCCTGATTTGATCAAATATGGCTGTCTGGTGGCCATTTTGAATGTCAAAATCCTGTAAAATCCAGTTTTTTGGGTGTGTCCATCATCATTTATCGGAGATGCCTGGACCGATTTTGCTGAGCCTTGGTACAAAGAGAGTGACCACTGGTACAGATGCACATTGATTTATTTTTTCAAGGAATAAATTAATGAGCTCATTTGCATATTTAATTATTAATTTGAATTCTTGTTAATATCTTGTGAACTAATAGTCCAAATCAGACCAAACTTGGTAGAGACTTGATTTGTCAATATAAGATATATGCTATGCAATATTGAGTTTCAACTTAATTAACAAGCTCATTTCCATATTCAATTGATTGTGAATTTTTGTTAAAATTGATTCAAATTTTACCAAATTTAATAGAGATGTCCTAGCTGATAACTTTGAGTAACATACTTTTGATTTTTAACTTAATCTTACTACCCGATTTTATACATATACATTCAAACTTTATAATTCATAGCCAACTATAATTACATCTGACAAGTGGGGGCTATGTCATATTCAGATGACTTGTTTATTAAAACTTGGTTTGAACAATGTACATGAATAGTTGTGTGATTTAATTTGAAGATTTCAACTGGTGGCCATGGTGGTTAATATATGTGTTTGTGCTTTTATTATGTAATTGCATTTGATTAAATTTTGTATTAACAGGTAATGAAAAAGCTACATGAAAACGTGTCTGTGGTACATCATTTAACTGGGGATCCTAGTAGCAGTAATGGGAAACCATCGGAAAAATGAACCAACTTGAGATCAACTTTAGCCGTTAAAAGAATCAAACAGCAAATCCAGTTAAAAAAATCATTTTGTCTGGAAGATTAGTCCCCATGGTTTGTCCACACCTATATCTTCAACATACCTGGATGAATTCTCTACAAACTTCAAACCTACATGATACACTTTGAGATACTATGCATATGAATTTATTTTTAGTTCTTGTTCGAACAAAGCACATTTTAGAACAATGGTCCAATGTTTATTAGCTTTTGAAGATTTGTCCGGGGCATATTTATTTGGGACATACACTGTAAATTTTAGATTACATGTCAAGAAAATTTGTTTTACAATCGGATTAAAGATGGCTGACTGGTGGCCATCTTGCTTTTTGACCGTATCTCCAAGGCTTAGGGATCATTTTCATTCATACTTTGCACATACATAATACATATTGGAATCTATGTCAATGTCAGTTTGTTTCATAATTGGATAAAAGATGGCTGACTGGCAGCCAACTTGTTTTTTGGAAAATGTGGCATCTTGTGTGGAATTTGTTGTTTTTTGCTCAAATCTGATACAAACATTATACTTGTTTAGATACATGTCCATGATAATTTGTTTTGTGTTCAAATCCAAATTGACCAACTGGCAGCCATCTTGTTTTATTTAAAATGTATCATTGACATGTTTTTTTCCCCCTTCAAATTATGCATCTTAGGATAAATGTCCATGACAATTAGTTTCACAGTTGTATCAAAGATGGTTGACTGCTTGCAATCTTGCTTTTTGACCATACTACTATATTTCAGTTAATGAGCCTGGACAAGGAAATTCAGTTTGATACATAAATAGCATATCCTGTTTAATTTCTGGCCATATATTTCAATTTAATACATCTAATTTCTGTTGATAGTAGACCAGCCAATTATTCACTCTCAATTACTACTTATGTTTTTGGTCCATATTACTTTATTTTTGTCATTAACAATGCATTTTGTTATCTGGTTTAAGACAGCTGAATGGCGACCAGTTTATTAAATTACAAGCATTTCTGTCATTCCAGAACTAGATCTCAGTCAAATATTTTATTCAAAGTTGGTACATGCATTTGATATCATTATGAGACTTTGATGCACATTTCTTTATTTGCTGATCAAAATTCAAAATGACTGACAAGTGGCCATTTTGTTCAAGTGAATGATGCTGACAAGCAATATCTCTGACATGTCCTGACCAATCACATCCAAACTGCAGACATTCATCATATACCTTAGGATACATATATGCATGTACTTTCAATAGTGTGTCATTTACTCAATGAGAGATAAACATAATAACATTTTAGCAATATATGAAATATTGTCAAGTCAAATTACCATTATGTCCTCTTTTCAAAATTGTCTTTCACTTACAATAGATCAACTCTATATTGTTTTAAAAATGAAATGAAGATCTTTGAGAATTTGTTGAGACTCGATGATAACGATTTTCATTTGTTTACCAACAGTTTAATATGTTGAACAGTTATTAAAATTTGTTAAAATGAGAGTCTTCTTAACTTTTATAAAAATAACTTTCTGCAAAGTTCAATATAAAATATATTAATATAATTTTATTGTTGCATTGTTATATTTTTACACTTTTCAGGTAATAAAAATTGGATTTTGACATTTTGTTACAGTATCTTAGTGTTGTAGTATGCTGGTCGATCTCACTGAAAATTCATTTAGCTTTTATATGATCAAGTGTTAATTCAATCATGATAATTACATGTAGCTCAAATTCTTCTTTTGTAAGCTTTTCAGGCATTTGTTAATTCTCTGATAGTGTTGGTATTAGGCCAAATTCACCTGCTAGTGTTAGGTATTCTTGCACATTATCTCAGATCTCACTGAGATTTAATTCAATTTAACCTTATAAAATTTGTTTCAATACTCAAGTATTCTGAAAGTTTTTGGAATATAGTTCTATATGACAGTGCAAGCAGATCGAGTGACCTGCTCTGGAACAACACTGCTGTGACTCTGATTTTTAGGACAAGGAATTCAGAGTGATAGCAGAACGAGGGTATCTAGGATTCAAAGAAGGATTTTATTCTGCTGCCACCAGGCAGGAGCAGTACATTATTTTGTTGTACTGCTGTGTCACACATGGTGGTAAATACAATGGTCAAGGCAGACACATTTGTTTTTCCAGCTCTAAAGGGAAGGAAAACTTCTGAACTACCAACATAGTGTAAATACATTTGGTAATGGTATATGTTGAACTAGCCTGTCACAAACAAGCTAAAATACCCAAGGAAGATATATTAGGAAAAATGGTTTAAGATTGCTGAATAGCAGCTAGTTTATCAAAACCATATCTCTGATCAATTATATTGAAACTTTAGATGTACATTATACATCATATCACATATGTACATGAACTGATTTTTGTAATTTCAGTTGAATGGTTCTAATGTTAAAGATGTATCAAGATTAAGCATTTATGCCCTTCTGGAACTGCATCTTGTTCGTGCATGGACATATTTCATTACTACTGTTTATTAGTCCCCGTTCAAACGAAGTCCGAAAACGAGGACTTATAATTCGATCTCTGTCCGTGCGTCTGTGCGTCCGTCAGGAGTCGTATCTCAGTGTCCCGGACCGATTCCGTTCATTCTTTGCATGTGCCGAGTACTTTATGTGGGACATATGCACATGCAATGGTTTAGCGATTCGATTCAAAACGGCCGACTGGCAGCCATCTTGTTTTTTGAAAATTTTGTATTTTTGACATGCTTTGTCAGTTGTCATTCAAACTTGGTACATAGATTATACATGTTAGGATACATGTCCATGACGATTTATTTCGCAATTGGATCAAAGATGGTTGACTGGCAGGCATCTTGTTTTTTTGCGGTATCTTGGATGTGCTCTGTCAGTTTTCATTCAAATTTGGCACATACATGTACTTTATACATGTTAGAATGCATGTCCATGACAATTTGTTTCAAAATCCTGTCAAGGATGGCCGATTGACAGCCATCTGACTTTTTGGCCTTACTACTACATTTCCACAATTTATGTACCATTTTCATTTGTATTTGGCACATACATCATACATATCAGTGTGTTTCATAATCAGATCAAAGATGGCCGAATAACGGCTGTTTTTATTTTTGGCCATATTACTACTACACGGAATACATGTTTTGATGTAAATAAACAATCTGTTGTATACACCACTTGGAACTCAAGTTTCAAGGACACTCTCGTGACAACCCCTCTGCTTTAATATGACGAGCACAAAAAGAACTTTCAAAAATTTAATGGGGACTGTCATTTTTTATGACTTGTTCTATGTGTGTCTTAGACTGTATCTCGAACATCCCTGAATTCTCTTCAACTTTAACAATGTTATCCAAACAAAAATGATCAACCGCTGGCCACTTTGTTCTAAAAATGTATTAAAGTAGACTTCTTCCAGACACACTTAGACCAATTTGTTCTTACTTGGTATGAAGGTTGTACATGTTCGTTGTCAGATGTAGGTCCACTTTTTAGCTTTTAGATTACAGAGCGGATGATTGTTTGTTGTCATCTGTCAACAATTGTATTTTTGACTTCTTGAAAACTACCAGCGTAACTACTTTGATGCTTGGTATGTAGGTTCATTGGGTTAACTGTGTTTTGTCTTGTGGATTTACTTTGCTTGAGTTGGCTACTGCAATGATCTTGTAGGACAGCAGAGCTATTTTGACCGTCAATTCGCTTGTTAATATTTTGATCAAGGTAGTGTTCTGTTGGTTGCTGATTGAACATCCACGATAACTGATACACCTCTGATAGACTGGTAGCCATTTTGTTCATGCATATCCAGAATAGTTTTATTTAACCAATGGGTGATAAACTTGCGAGAGTTCCTTAATTTTAACAATATCTTAAACATTGTCAAATCAAATTGCTATTATGTACTCTTGAGAAAAAGCTTTGCTTTTATTTATAATAGTCTGAAAATGAAATGAAATGATTTAAGAATTTGTTGAGACTCGATTTCATTTGTTCTTGGCATAGGCTGTTAAAATTT